TGCCTTTAATCCCAGCACTTGGGAGGCAGAGGCAGGTGGATCTTTGCGAAATTCAGGCCAGCCTGGTCTTCAAAGTGAATTCCAGGATAGCTGGGACCTGTCTCGAAAAGCAAAAACAAACAAACAAAAAAAAACCAACAACAAAAAATTGTTTTATTCATTGTGTGTGCAGGCACACGTGCTACGAAGTACATGTGGAAGTTTCAGGACAATCCTCAGTCGTTGATTCTCTCCTGCCAGCTTGTGGGATGCAGGGATTAAACCCGTATCACCAGGTCTGTGCACAAGTGCCTCTGCCTGCTGAACCCCCTCAACAGCGACTGCTAAAGTTTCCTGAGCTATGGTTTCCTTATCTCACATTGGCACCTAGCAAAGCTGTTGTGAGGTACAATGAGGTCACCACTCAGAAGAGCCTGGCATGAATTTAGTCAGGAAAGTGATACAAAGTGGCTACCCCTTCTCAGACCAAATGGAGGAGCCAATCATGGCTTTCCTGTCTTTGGGGACAGCATACAGAGACAGAGAGCAGCCGGCTCTTACCTTCTTGCCCTCAATAACCATATAGATGCATCCTGCCACTGTCAAGGCAATCATTAAATAGCTGACCTTCACCCGGATCTTGTTCTTTGCAGCGTCAAGCATCTCAAACCTAGTGATGGAAAGAGAAAACATGATTAACCTTTTTCTTTCTGAACCTGCAGCAGGATGAAATGTTCTGGGCATCACAAGTTAAAAGTTCAGTGATGTTTGTAAACACAAAGCAGCTAGGACCTAGGGACCTCATAGCACCTTGGGGGATCGTGGGTCAAGTTCACAAGTCTTTGGTTTTTGTTTTTGGAGACAAGGTCTTTCTTACTTTATAGCCCAGGCTGGCCTGGAACTCATTCTTCTCTCAAAAAGTCCTGTTATAAGCTCGAGTTATAACAAAAATATAGTTCAGAAAGAAAACAAACATGGAAGAGTTAATATTCTTTGTTTAATCTAGTTGTCTCCCCCATTTTAAACTTTATGCACATGGGTGCTTTGCCTGAATGTGTGTCTACGCACTATGTGCAGTGCCTGAGTCAGGGGCCAGAAGAGGGTGTCGGATTTGGATCTCCTATGATACAGAAGATTATAAGTCACATGTTGGTTCTGGGAATTGAACCTCCATTTTCTGGAAGGACAGCCAGTGCCCTTAACTACTGGAGCCATCTCTGCAGCCTAATTACTCTGATTTTTGATTGGGGGAGGGAGGACTAGAAACTATGTTATTAATTCAAAGTCTTTCCATTTTTATTAACTCATCTAAAAGTGCATTTCATAACAAAACGTATGCTTGCTGGGAATAGTGGGGTTCAGGCCTGTAACCTAAGCAGAGGAAGGAGGATCATTGCAAATTCAAGGCCAATCTGTTCCACATAGCACGTTCCAAGACAGCCAGGGCTATGGAGAGAAACTCTGTCGAAAAAACAAACCTTAGCATTTATTTCAAACAATGCAAGCATATCTGAGTATTTTTCCAGCCTCTAATCTAGTGTTTTTCTCTGTCTTAAATCAGAAACAGATTTGAGGTTGCCTGAGCCAGGGAAATAATCCCTGAAGAAATGGTCCCTTAAATGTTAATCTTGTCATGAAGGTTTTGCTAAAATTGAGCAACAGTGGAGTGGAGCCTATGCTTTTTGGCAAGTACCCAGAATGTAGCCTATCTAACCTTTCCACTGACTGATGACCTACATGCCTTGACAGGGGCATAACGTGCAAGAGTCTAAAGAGAAGGCTGGGTATGCAAGAAGGACCAGTAGGTAAAGGTGCTTGCAGTCAAGCCCAGTGGCCTGAATTCAATTTCTAGGGCCTATATGGTAGAGACACTTCC